TGAGCCTTCTGCTCCAGGGAGGAGCCGGACTTGAAGACCTCGGTGGTGATTTCCCGTGCTTATATCCAGCTATTATCTGTATTTATTCCCTCTTCTCAGACAACCCATGTTCCATGCCTGGCCCCCAGTTCAAAGATAGCTGCATTGATTTAGAATTCCATTAGAATTCTAACATAAAATAGATTAATAAAACAAGATTGGATTTCAAAGAATGCATGCAACACCAAGAAAAAGAACCATTGGATCTTGTAGAAAAGTAAGGCCCTAAACCACCAAGTTTTGGTCACATATCCCAGTTGAAATGGACACAACCTTTAGTGTTACAAGAAAAAGGCAGGGCCACCTTCCCGCTCTGGGTTCCTTTGTTCCTTTAGAAATGGACTGGGATTAAAGGCTTCTACTTGGAGCTCTGGATAAGCTGACGTTTCCTGCTACATCGGAAGTCTTCCACGCACGAATCCTATCATTTTAAGGGAGCGTCTCTATTTTCTTAATGCGTCCCTAAGCTAGCACATATTGAAGTAAAAATATGGGACGATGCATCTCCATTTGGGGAAGGTTTTGTTCGCTTGGAAAAACAACACGTTCTGAACATCCAACAAATCCATCTTCAATTTCCCGGACTAACTCAATTTTGAAACCACGAGGCTCGTTTGCTCCTCGGATTCCGGTGAAATTCTGTAGGAACGAAAAGGCAGGCCGTGTGTTGTGGTGGTGATCCTTTCGCTACTACTTACGCTTTCAGAGGGGTGAGGACGGAGGGAAAGAAGCGAACGGTCTAGCTGATAATGTTGTTTTGTTCCGGGCCCTGAATGTGTTTTTAATTTAGCCATTTATATGGTGGTGAAGGCTGTTTACAGCCATGAAGTCACAGATACAGACAAGGGAAGGTAATTGCAGCCGCAAATGTCTTGAGCTTGCCAAGCAATCCCTTCCATTACGAAACATTCATTTGGTGCTCGTGCTGCTGCCAAGTCACCCAATGCCAATGGCAGAAGGGGGGCAGTTGTGTGGAGCAACAGGCAGCTTCAGCGGGAAGGCTGCTCAGAAAAGGGAGTTAATGGGTCTCCAGCAGGACTGTGGGCACTGGGGTTTTTTAGGGAGACATAAGCAAGCAAAATGGGATAATGATGGATAAGAGGATAGAATCCTAACCTCACAGTAGGATGAGGAAATTGTGCCATATGAGAGACAGACAGAGCTCCCGATCCTAAAGTCCCCCGTGGTGCTCCAATGAGGGAGGTTAAGTGCAGAGGGTCTGAGCAAGCAGGAAGCTGGAGTGGGGAGCTAATCTTCTTTGGGCAGGTGCCTTTTCCCCGAAATGCCAAGCTGGGCGCTTTTATTTTTTCTCCACTGGCCTTCGCAGCAAGATGCCCAGCCGAATTGGATAGCTGGGGTGAGATGGAAGGACTTTGCAGAGGAGAAATCAGGAGTTTCTCGCTATGCAGCTACCAGTCTTTCTCTAGAAATGCCCTCTCAGCCATCACACTTTTCGGTTCCTCCGGCAAATGTGTTTGGGGACTTGCCTTTGCCAACGAAAGGTCTAATTCAAGCTTGAGTCGAGGGCTGGCTCTGAGCTTGTTGCTGGAACATTTTCCGTATTGTTTTCGAAAATGCTGGCGCCGAAGCGCTTGGTTTCTGGGAACCACCAAAGGAGGTTCTTCCAAGGTTGGAACATATTCGTACCCCAGGAAAAAGATACTGCTTGGAAGATACTGTTTCGCACTTAAATTCTGAAAGGTCCACAGTTTGAGGTTTGGGATTCTTCTCCTAAGCCAGATTAATTTCCTGGGCTGACGTTCCAGGGCAGTGGCTCCTTCCTCCTCTGGTGGGCGAACACAGAGCAGGATGAGCAAGGGACTGGACTCCCAAGTTGGGTGCGATCAGTGACGCTTCTGTTGTAGACTAAGGGGAAGCAAAGTCAGCTCTGAAGCGGCAGGATCCGCTTCAGCAGAGAGCGAATTCCAGAAGGTGACACGATTTATTTTGTTTGCATTTGACATGTTTGTACATCACCTGTCCAACTCCGTGGGCACGCAGCTTGCAGACCAAACAGCAAAAAGGGTATAAAACTAATAAAAGTGTGGCAATACGACGAAAACATAAGCTGTATCATTTGTCGCAATATTCATTCATTCGTTCATTCATTCATTCAGAGTATTGTATGCCGTGGCATCGCACAGCCTCAGGATGGCTTACATAAAATAACATAAAACATAATACAAGTAAAATCCAGATCCACCCTGGCTGCAGATTAAAACCTATAAGCTGAAGTTAAAAGTTATTAAAATATTGTTTAAATAAAAAGGTCTTAGCCTGGCGCCGAAAAACAAATAACGACGGCGCCAGGCGGACCTCTCTGGGGAGCGCATTCCATAAGTAGGGCGCCACCGCAGAGAAGGCCCTCCTTCGGGTACTCTGTCTCCTAATATTTTTCACGGAGGGTTCCCGGTGGAGGGCCTCTGCTGCCGATCTCAGGGGGCAGGAGGGCAAATACGGAAGAAGGCGTTCCTTTCTGCAATAAAAGCAGAAAATGGTACTTCAGCCACTCAAGGATCAACAGAAGAATAGTCTTCGGCTGCCTGCCACCAATGAAGTCTCCAAAGTTCACGAAAAGCTTCCACCCCCACCCCCCACCCCAGTTCTAATGAACTTATTGGAAAATATTTGATGAAATCCAGAACAGTTTTTGTAAGCCGTCCTGAGGCTTGTTGCAAAGGACGGCATAGAAATGTTTTAATTCAATTAAAAAATTAATTTAATTTTAATTAAATTTAAAAAATTAATTTAATAAAACCTAAGCAAAGAAATCGATTACAGTTGCGATTTTAGATTTGGGTTAGAGTAAGTAACACCGGGAGTATTAGAAGAAGGAGAAAATACGAGGAAAGCTGGCTTGTTTGGACTAATGGGCATGGACCCAAATTCATGAATCAGAATGGGTCGAGGAAGAGAAGTATAAGACACAGGAAGGAAACTCCTGCTGGAAGCAAGAAGGATGGTGGTCTCGGGACGGGTTCAGGAGGAGGAGGTAATCACCTCAAGGCCAGGAGCTTCACTGAGCCTGACAGTTCCTGGGAATGGCCAGGGTGGAGAGACAAAGGCTGCTTTGCTGACGAGAGGGGAGAATCATTTAGGAATCGAGTGTGGTGAAGACACAGCACCCAGGAGCAAAACCTGGCATGGGTTGGGACCGGAAGGGGTTGTGAGGACGGCTGCAGGGGAAGTGTTTGGCTGCTGGGCACACTGAAGGCCTCCCAACACTCAAGCCATGTGCTCAGTTGTCCAGTCCGAAGCATCTCCAGACCTTCAGTTTTACCGAGCATCGCTGTGGCTCTGACCACATTGCCTGCCTCTGCAGCCAAGCCCAACACTGAGCAGGAAAGGGAAAACCTTACCAAAAAACAAAATGAAACCAGGCATAATCTTCATGGCCGCAAGACAGGTGGGGGAGGCCACAAATGAGAGGGAAGTGCATCCAAGGACTGGCCTCTTCTTCAGTTGGCCCTATTAGAGAAGAAACCTCATTGACAAAGGGGGGCATTACCATATCGGAGAGATTCCTGGCCCATGACTCGCTGTTAGCGTCTGAAGTATCTTTACCATTTCCTAATGCATCACACATTATCATGCCCTGTCTGCATTCCCAGGACATCTCCGAGCCATGGGGATCCAGATGGTTCCCATTGAGGGCTCCGTCTCGGCATGTTAATGGGAGCCAGCTTTGGATCTTGCTCCTCGCGCCGGGCGTCTCCCCTCACTCAGCGCCATCATCTTCCACCCGCCTGAAACAAGGACCTTCCATGTTTTTTCCAGGGAAGGTCACACAAAAGCTTCCCAAGCTCGTAGCGAAGCATTACATGGGATGGGCGAGGGCAGTGTAGAAATGCAATGAATTAATAAGTCCTTCTTGCTAGAGATGGCACGTCTCCTACTCTGCAAATCAGGTTGCACACTGCCACTGTGGGAAGGAGGGGAGGGAGGGACAGAATGCCGGATTCTGCCCCAAGAAAAATTAAATTATGTAATGTGCTATTATCTGTGCAATTTGTACATAATTTCTTGTGATTTTACTCATCAGGGGGGCAAACGATCTATGCGTGGAATGTCCAACTGGAATTCTTACGTGATCAAAACCTCTGACTTCTCAAATCTCAGTAGGTGTTATTCATATATTTGAAAACATTTTTAGAGACATAAGGTATACTTTAAATAAATTAAAGTTGGTGACCTGAGGAATTTCAATTCCTCACTCAATGTGACACATGGCACCTTTTCTGCTGTTCTGTATAATTTGAAACAGGAAAGGCATTGGCAACCATCGCAAGAGAAAAGTGAATGGCGGGTCACTCGGAGAGAGAGGGTGCATCCTTATTTATATGGCATCGTCCGTGTACAAGGTGCTTTGCAAATACAAGCAACCTGCTCTCTACCGCGGGGGGCTTAAACAAGCCAACATTTGACAGAGGCACAGAAAGAGGGAACTAGAGGCTGTTTTGGATGTCCGGAGAATAGCAGTACTCCAGTTAAATGGGTTTTGGTCTGGTCTCAGCACAACTTAAGCTGAGCCAAAGGCCTCATGAGGGGAAAATGGGTTATATGAAGGAGGCATTTCTAGATTGGCAGCAGTGAGGGAGAATGGTTGGGCCTCTTTGAGTGAGCAGATCTCTGGAGAGATGAAGGTACAGGAACACAGACACGGACGTATCGGGATGCAAGCCATTTAACTCAGATTGATAAATTTAGAGATGGAAAGCAATGGCTGTACTGAAATTTAAGTTTGGAGAACTATTCTTCTAAGATAGACCTTTTTTCCTCAGGAAAACATGAACCACTGGTATGAAGACAACTGAGAGAAAATCCTGCATGAATTATATCGTAAGAACACCAAGTGCAAATCCTCAAACAATTTAGCTTACATTCTTTAATAAGGCTGTGGGATGCAAGAAGTTCTCCAATATTAGCAAATATTTCTTTGAGAAAACACAGTGTACCCTTCAAAGATATCCCACTATTTTAATAACAGGAAATAACAAGCTACAATGGGACAACTGAACAGGTACATTCAAACTTGGGAACTGTTTTGACCACATCCTAAATGGAATGGTTTGAGAAATCCACCACTCTTCCGAAGTCAAGAGAATTGAAATCAAATATTTAACATTTGCAAAAATAAATGTGATTCTGAAAATTAAAACAAGTAAAAACGCAGTCCTTTTAAAAGAAAAAGGCAGAAAGTGAATGCAACCAAACAAAAGTACAAGCACTCTAATGTTCAGTGTGCTAATGCAACTCATTTTTTAAAAATGCAGTAGACATATTTGCTTAAATATAATTTGTTCTAATCCATTTCCTTTGCAAAATGCAAATATTTTGGGCTTTTTTAGTAGGATGACAATTATCTGCTCAACCTTTTCTTCTAAAACTCATACTCCCCAAACAGGCATTGATTTGTTGATATTTGATTTCCTTATCTGGAACTCTTCCTTCCACGTTTCTTCCAAATTCTGAACGTGTGAAACCTCTACAAAGCAAGGGGAGAGCAGAGTACGTGGGGTTCCCCGTTGCTCACCGTAATTTCCAGACTTTTGCGTTCTTTTCTGAAGAACTGAGGTTGCAACAAGTGTCAAAGCACCACCACCACCACCATCATCTGATGGGTCTAATAGTTGGCTCATTCATGCCTTCTGAAATTCAGAAACACATCCTGGCTATTTACTCCCCAAACCTCACGAAGACTGAAAACTGTCAAAAAGGCAGCTTTATCTTGAGCAGTGTGCAGGATTTTGCCAATCTCTCATTTCTGCATGGATAGTAGAATCTTTAGTCCTTTTCCAACTGTGGCATCTACTTCATGGTGTAAGAAGCTCAGCCATTGCAAGTCCCGTCACCGTTCTGGCCATTCAATTCACGCTGACTCCAGCTTAAGCCGAAATGGCAGCCATTTCAGCACCTTAACAACTCTCCGCGTGGTGAGTTTGTCCCCTTACGATTTTGCCAGATTCCTTGTCCGCACCTTTTCTGAGTCACTGGCACTGCCCCATGAATTATGTTACATAAAGATTGTCAACAGAAATGCTACTAATGGTGCCCCATCACAAAGGTGGCATGTTGAGATCAGCAGTCAATATCCCCAATTTCTTTGTTCACTCACATCCAAATCAGTAACATGCTGGGGGAGTACTGGGGGTGCCAAAGCACGAAAGATCAATCATGAACACAAAGCATCCTTATGAACAATACAATGTATAGGCATATTAAGAGTCCTGTAAACACATGTTTTTCTCACATTAAAACAAAAGTAGCAATGCAACACACCAAAAGCACCTATCAATTATTTCGATAGAATAATTTACTGTACTGCATATAAAACTTATCTGTATTTTAGTATACACAGAAAAATGTCCTAGGGTACCAAGGCATGCCAAGAGACTCAGATGTAGCATACAAAAGACTTGCAAAACAATCATTAAGAGTCTGGGAAATCGGAATAGACATTAACACACTTTGGGTCTGATTTATGACCTCAAGGTCACCCACCACAAAAGGATGCCTGACTCTGTGATTGCTGCATTCCCAGCTAGTGATTCCAAACATGTTTAACGGCTTTGCTACTTAATTAGTAAAACTGAAACAATAACCACACTAGTTGTAGTAAACTAATTCACCAGGAGTTGAAGAAATTTCCTTTTGCTTGGCTAAATTGAGGCAAAATCCCAGAAAGATCAGACTTTTTTGGGAGGGAAAGAAAAGCCATCTACATTGTGTCCCTTTATCTGCAAAAACATCACTAGAGCTAATAGCTTACTCCTATATAGGTCTACTCGTGTGTAACTTCCAGTGAACTCAACTGGGGCTTATTCCCCAGAACAAGTCTATAGGACTGTAGCCAAAGCTAACATTGCTTTCTCTGTAACGGATGAACTGGATCCTGGCCAATGAAAACTCATGACGCCACGAGCTAGCTGCTAAGGTGCCAAGTGCTTCCGCACGCGGAGGCAAAGCAGGGTTCAGGGGAGGTATCTCATTAACTTTTTTGTGCTCCACAGAACATATGCCCCCTCTGGCAATTTTCCGCATCTCTGTGCAAAACTGGGGCGGGACAAAGGGGAACACTGAAGCAACTGGGCCAGCCTCTCCCAGCCTGATCCAATCGTGCCTGGAGCCGATTCCTTGAAGATGGAAACGCAATGGGGGGTTCTGCTCTCCTTGCATGCTCACGGAAGGGTGCCGATGGACACCAGCGGCAGCCGGATGTGCCTCGGGATGCGAAGGCTGTCTGTACGTATTGCATAAATTTGGATGTGTGCACTGAGACATGCATCTGTCTGCTTCGACGTATTGTTCCAACAGAGTCATGTACAGCTACGGAGGGTTAGCCCTGGTTCCAGCAGGAGTTCTGCAAAGCAAAAACCAGCAGCGGGCTGAGCACTGGGTAGACAAGGGAGTGTTTTTCCTCTTGTCCTCTCCTCCCCCTGTTGCGAGAAAGGGCCAAGGACATTGTCTGCCAGCAGGGAGAGTGTTGTCGAGACAAAACAAATTAACTGGGTGGGAGATGCCATAGCGCTGCCGTGTTCTTGAGCCGATCCAAGATTAGGTGTGATTGCAGGGCTTGCCCGGGCCTGAGGCAAAAGGGCAAGATGGCAGCCTCCTCTATTCAGCATCCTGGACTGTGGGTTGAATCTCAGGGAGCAGGGCAGGCTGCGGAGTCCACTCAGGGCTGGCTCAGCACCATCACTAGTCCCCAGGATCTGTCCCTTCGCCTCATGTGATCACACAGTTAGAAAAAAAATCCCTTTACTTAAGAAACAACAAAACACAATAAAGTAAAAAACGAAGCAGCAGCATTTTTGAGTAACAAACACAACAGACTAGCAAAGTGTGAAAAACACAGAGACGAGTACAAGGGCAATTTTTCATGGACCCTCCGTCTCTCAAATGATAATTTCTGCACTGACACGCAACCCTCACAAAAATTTGGCACTGAACCACTTTTGCTTTAAGCCATTTTTCTGCAGCCTGCTTCACAATGGCAATTAGCAAACAAGAGACATTGGATTATGATTGAAATAGAACTAAAACAGATTTCCATCTGTAACAACATTCAATGAGTCCATCAGATCTTCCAGCTGAAATGCTTGAAGTACACTAATTTAATTTCCAAGTGCATCCAAACTCAAATCCTGGTGCCAAATACACCGCTTATTTCAGCCCTAGGACCCAAATGATGCCTCCGAGTTCCAAATTTTACCCTGAGTCCTGTTTCCAGAGCTAAAATTTCTCTATCTGTGCTGTGAACTTTCAAAACTCAAAATAATCTGACATCAGACACAGAACTATGCCAAAATGAACACAGGACAATAGCAATCAACCACCATATTTAACATGATAGGGACCAAGGGAAAATGCTCTATGTTATATCGAAAACTTAATCTATAAAGCATTTGGGGGGTGACCAACGTGTTAAGTTAAATTGTATCTTGCTAAACAGGTTTTAATACAATAGGACCAATAAAGTACCAGTATTATTTACACTCATTCCCCATTCTGTTTCCTCTTATTTTGAACGTGTAAGGTGCAACATAGGTATAGAAAGTCTCTTATGTACCTCTTTGGAAAACACAATTGAAACAGGATGTCACTTGAAAATGAACAGAGTTCATTGAAAAGCACTTCTTGGTCCATCTACATCAATGAGTCAGCGCCATTACCTTGAGAAAGGGATTAGAGGCCTCCACAGTCAGAAACAGTACAGCTCTGAGTATAAGATACCAGAAACAAGCAACAGTGGAAGTCCAGAAACATACGGATGGCCTCCGTATTTTGGACGCAGAAGGCTGGCCTAGGTGGGTGGGGGGTTTAAGCCAGCAGGGCTATTCCTACATTCACAGAACAACATTGTCTTACATAAATTCATGGAGCACATGCTGTTTTAAGGCTCAACAGGCCTATCACTCCCTTTATGGCAAAATAAATAAAGACACCGTGAACTAGGAGGACTACGTAAACTGTTGATAATTACGATCAGTCACGTGACAGGTCAATGAGGGCAAGATCTGTGGGTCACACCTTTGTTTGCACGGTTGCACTTAAGAAGGCTCTTCCACAAACCAGTGCACAATTCTAGTGATGCCACTACCTCCTGGGAAGACGGACCTGCCTCCCCCAAGGTTGCCCATTGAAAAGGAAGGCAGCATTTTCAGATCTGCTGGAAGTCTGGAGCACTGACCAACCCAACTGCACAGAGGACGCTCTTGCTTTTCCTACCCCTGAAGACACCACTCCCCGCATCCACGCCGTCGTGCCACAGGGTCTCCTCATTGTCACAAGCCCCCTCTTTGAGAGGTACAGCAGGGAACACAAACAACACTGCCGGAAACGGCACGGCTGCGGTGGCGAGCGGCGGAGGCTGCCAACGTGGTCACGACCAAGCGCTTATGTGAGCTTCTTCATTCTGCGGTTCTGCTTGTCGATGTTCATCGTGGCCCGGTCTGCGGCGGAGGTGATGCCGTCGAGGGCTTCGTCCTGTCTCTCCAACTCCATCTCAGTTTCCAAGGCCAGGCACTTCAGCTTCCGGAGAATCTGCGGAGAAAAGAATCTCGGTTTCACTTGTCGCCAACAAGCGCTTGAAAGGGTCAGTGGCGGTCCTGCACCGACGTTGCACTCTTCCTGTGCGCGTGGCCGCACATTCTTCTTGGTTTTATGCTCAGAAGAAAACGCAGTAAATAAATAAATCAGCCACAGATGAGACCCAAATACCTTCCACATTAGCTTACTTAATCGGCTGCCAAGTTACCAGCCTGCCATTTATTTTTACGTTTCACTCATAAACAAAGAGCAGGATAATTAAATAAATAATGGCACATCAGAGGTTTTGCAAAAGAGGAACCAAGCTGTGCTACCCCCGACCCAGACCAGTTCACCCAGCTTCCATACGGGTCACAAAAGGGAACCCTCTTCCTCTACAGCAACCCAGAGGATGAGAGTAAAGATGGCAGACCTGGCGTTCCTCCATTTCCCCACTGTGTTTACTCGCTCGGAAGGGATTTTGCATCCTCACCAATGGCAACCAGAGGACTGGTTAAATAATAGACTGATCTCAGTAATGGAGTTGTGCAATTAATTGGTCAAAAGGCTTTTTCCACTGCCTGTTTGCGTGTGTACATGTGGGTGCGTGGCTGGGTGATGTACGTATATGATGATGGCCTTTTGCTGGATGGGGAAGATGGAATTCTATTGTTTAAGAAGCATCGCAGGACCGGAGAGGTGACGGTGCACCAGGAAGCCACCTACTTATCCACACAGTACTTCGAGGTACGATGCAAAGGAACACAACTGGGTCCATGGATAGGACACCACAAACAGCAGGCCCAGCTTGGCTTGCCAGACTTTCCACCTCACTCCTGACACCCCCTGCAGGACACGCGTAGGGACGTGTGACGCGGGAAAACTGGCTCCATTGGAGCACAGTGGACTTTTGACACACTTCCAGCCTGACAGCCAAATGTGGACTGAGATGGAAGGGACAGGGAAGGCGGGGTTCAGCTTTCACAAAGTTGCGTGAAAGGGCACAAGGATTCGGAGATAGGAACTGTGTATCTCTGCTGTGATTTGTGTAAATGGTGCACATTTGTGTGTGTCGGCACAATTTATATAACCTGTGCAAATCTGGGCCGAGTTGTTACAACTAAGTTGCGTCCTCATTTAACATCAGAAACACAGAAACAAAGTGAGTCAGAAGGGGTCTCTTGGGCCACCTAGTCTGACCCCAGACTCCAGCCGGCTCCGCTCATGACATGCCCACCATGTGCGTGTCCAGCCTGTCCTTGGACACCCTCACCGGTGGGGCCTCAACCACCTCCCGGGGAAGCCCATTCCACACTCTCGGGGTCCTCAATGTCAGGAAGCGCTTCCTGGCATCCACCCTAAATCGTGGTTCCCTGAGCTTTGCTCCATTGGAACACATCCTGCCCTCCACTGCAGGGGAAAAAGGTCATGTCCCACCTCTGTGTGGAACCCCCTCACCCACCTGCATGTCACTAACAGGCCCCCTCTGAGTCTCCTCCTCTCCAGGCTGAAGAGACCCAACTCCCTCAGTCTCTCCTCATCTGGCTTCCCCTGCAAACCAGCCACCATCCTTGTGGCCCTTCGCTGCACTGACTCCAACCTGGCTGTATCCGTCTTGTAACGAAGCATCCTCTTCTCACTGCATAGGAACAAACTCCACCCAGGCTGCCATGCATTTTCTGGCAGTCAGCTTCAGATTTGCACAAAATGTCGGCTCTGCTCTGGAACATGTGCAAACCTGAACAGTTTATGTAATTCTCATAGTGGAAGCCCACCTTTCACACAATTTCCCCCTGCTCTGGAAAACAAAAGCACAAATTGCAGCCAAGTTTCATAGCCAAAGGCTCCACGCTGGCTCAGCCCAGGTCAGCCCAAACACAGAACTGGCGGAACAGAATCTGCAGGATTCTGGGTTGAGAGTATCCATCAGATTTGCCCTGCTCACGCATCCCTAGGCGTGCTCCCGCTTCACCGGACACTGGGCCAGCCCATCTCTGCCATATCACTGGCTGGGATGACCTGCACCCCCATGCACACCACCCTGCCAGGCTTCCTCTTGACAACAACCTTGCAGTGCAGGTCCTGCTCATAAAGGCAACAGAGGAACAGGCAGGGTTAAAAGGTGTGTTGGGGGGGGGGGAGAAGCGTTAAATCCCTTTATTTTCCAGTCAAGAGGGCAAGAGGAGGTGCGGACTCCTTTTGGGGAGCATGACTTTTGCCTTCTGAGAAGCGTTGGGGAGATTATGCCCACCTCATCCCAGATGGGGCTATGCCAGAGCCACGTGGAATTCGGACAGGGAGGCTGTGGCTGGCCAGCACTTCGGGACGGCGAGAGGAGAGAGTGGTGGCTATTTTGGTAGGATAAAACTATGACAAGATGTCTAGTCATTAATGCCTCGGTCTGCCAGCTTGCTAAAAGATTCACTGTCCTTTTTGCCAAACCCTCATTTGGCAGAGATTCGAGGGATTTGCAAGTCAGCGCAGAAATGAAACTCTTGCTTTACCGAACAAAACGATGGCACAGTCAGGTGGTCGGGGACTGAGAATCCCATCATTTGTCATCAGTAAAAGAATTTGTTATCCAAATGAACATATTAAATGAATTTGCCTAGCGTCCCTGTGTAACCCCAAGAAGTATAATCACGCCAGGCCAATCTTATCCATGTTGACTCAAGAGTAAAACCCTCCATGGGGCTCGCTCAATGTGTTTAGGATCACAGCCTCGTTCGTCGGAAGATTCTGCCATCTTCCTTCCCGGATAGGTCTTCCAGGGTCTGCTCTACAACCACAAATCCAGTGCCAAGTCCAAAATTTAAACCAGCTCTCCCCAGCCTGGTGAATTCATTAAGCTGGGCCGCAAGCTTCCATTCTCTCCCCCACTACAACACTCACACCCCAAATGTGCGTCAATATTCCAGGAGACAAAACCCAACCAAGACTGATGCATTTCCAGAAAACAAGACGCTACGAATATTTTTGCTACATCCTCATGATGGACACACAAGAAACACCAGAAACGCCCCTTAAGCAGAAGGAGACTACTGGATCAAACAAAACCAGCTCACTAGGTTAATCTGGATCAACTCAACCCATGAAGCAAGATATAAGATGTGGCTTAGACCATTCTGGATCATGGTTTGCCTGGACTTTGTACCTTCTATTCTGCCCTGGGTTAGCACTGCACAATTTTAGGCAAAGAACCTTAGAATCGTGTCCTTTGCATCCCAATCTTTTCACTGGAGCTGAGCGCTGATCGCCTTCTCATCATACACCGCCACCTTCCCATGCGCAGTCTGGGAAGTTGGTAGACAATGGCTCAACCCCAGGAGCTCAATGGGGGCCCCTTCCCTAAATTTATAGGCAGGCCGGCAGAATGCTCGCGAGACAATCCCGAAAATCCGAGCTTTTAATGGAACTGTGAGACCTGCACTGCCATCCTGGCGAGTCAAGTTCAAGTGCCCAGGTGACTGTTCAGATCTAACGAGGACAAGGTTAGATTCCTGCACGTTTTATCAGGACGATGAAGAGGAAGGTGACTAACAGCTGATCAGCTTTCCGAAGAGTCCGCTCATCCTCCACTTCCAATATTCCCCTGCAGCCAAAGGGGGTGACAGGACTCTAAATGAGGGGTGAACAGAGAGATGGTTTCTAAATAATTTTGGACTTCAGTTCCCAGCATTCAGAACCATGGCCCTCACTGGCAAGAGCTTCTGGGAGGTGAAGTCCAAAACATCTGCAGGCCAACCTTCTGCCCACCCCTGCTCTGACTCAAACCGTGGGGCATATGGGGCAGGCCAAAACACCAGGCCAGAATTCAGCATTCACTGCAGGCGTGTCCTAGAAAAAGATCACCCGAATATTTGACTGCCTTGATGTTATTGCTGCCTAACTGATGCATAGCAAAGAAACTTCAGAGGAAGCCAGTGTGGGGTTCTGGTTAGACTGGGATTCAGGAGATACAAACTCTGCTTGCCATGTGGCTGTAACATTAAACTACTATTTGATGCTCCTGCTATGTTGTTAAGTTGTTATTTATTATTGCTTTGCTGGTTTAAATTGTTTAAACTGTATGTATTTGGGATTTTTTATACTGTTGATTTTTATCAGGCAGAGCCACGTGGCTATGAGACAGTACACAAAAGTGTTAAATGAACAAATGAACAATAAAATGATAACATTCACTGGGTAACCTTGGGGCAGTTGCTGACTCTCAGCTTAACCAACCTCGCTGGGTTATCGTGAGCATAGAAAGAAGAGTCCCCTGGTTACCTGAAGGAGCGCCTCTTTCCATGGGTACCTGCCTGCCCCATAGGATCTGGGGCAGAGGCCCTTCTCCGGGAGCCCTCCTTGGTTCCCAACGATGCCACGGGCCCTTGGGAAGACAGCCCCATGGGGCACCAGTTGTCGGAGACTGGGGAGCACTGCTCCTTTGCTCTCCCCGTGGCGCCAGCTGCCAAGTGGGGTTTCAGACAAAGGGGCTTGGGCGGACCTAGGAACTGAAGGAGTGGGCAAGGGGGAATCACGCAGGAATTCCTCTTTGGCTTGGGTTTTAATCTGATCTGCAAAAGAACACAGGAGCTGTAATGCGAACCTCTCCTTTGACAAGAGCGTCGAACAGCCTATCGTTTATTTATTAAATTTCTGGCCCGCCCCGTTAGCCGGATGGCTCCCCGGGTGGGATACAGCAATGAAATACAAAAGAAAATGCAAAAGGGAAAAAAATGCAGATTAAAATACAATATAAAACAACCATTACAAATAAACAACATTAAAATCAACGTAAGATGCGCCACAGTGATGACATACCGACAGTTGAAACGTTACCTAAAACAAGTCAGCAATAAAAATACCATCAAAATGAAAAGGTTTCCGTCTGGTGCCTAAAAGACTAAAGAAGGGGCCAGGCAGACCTCTCTGGGGAGCTCGTTCCAGAGTCAGGGTGCCACTGCAGAAAAGCCCTTCCTTGTGTTACCACCCTCCTTATTTCCTGCAGGGGGGGGTTCCTTCAGAAGGGGCTCAGGTGCAGATCGAAGGTGCTGGGTAGGTTCATATGCAAGAGGTGCTCCTTTAGATACCCTGCCCCAAGCCTTTTAGGGCTTTAGACCCCGGTGTTAACACCTTCAATTGGGCTTGGTCCTCAGCTGGGAGCCAGTGAAGATGCCGGAGGACTGGCATAATATGATTCTATCTGCCAGTCCTCATGAACAATCTGAGCACACTATTCAGAACCAACTGACGTTTCCAGACCTTCTTCAAGGGAAGCCCACAGGCAGCATGTTGCAAGAATCCAGGCGAGAGGTTACCAGCACATGGACAACTGTTGCCAGCTTGCCACCAAGCCCTGGAAAACCCATTCTCACTGGCGCCATGAACTCTTTCCCCAGAAATTCTGATGAATTTTTTGCGTTTTATATGGGATTTTAATGATTGTAAGCTGCCCCGAGGCTCATGCGATGGGGCGGCATATAAGATGTCTAAATAAATAAATAAAATAAAAGCTTTCTCCAGGACCTTGGGAGCCCGAGTGATACTGCAATACTTTGCAGGTACGACAGATTAAGCCACCCAAAAAGGGGGGACATTCTTAGAGAAAGAGACACAATTTCTCCCCCAGCTGAAGAGGGTCTGAGTTCAAAAGACAACCCGCACTTTGCTCTGGATACAGCACGGTGCCTGCCAGGGGTGCAGGATTACAATTCCCATCGGCCCTGGCCAATCCCTGGCTTGCGCTGTAGCCTTTCTTTGTATCACAGGAAGAAAGTGTCATAGAAACACAGAAACAGAGCGAGTCAGAAGGGGTCTCCTGGGCCATCTAGTCCGACTCCCGGCTCCAGCCAGCTCTGCTCACGACATGCCCACCATGTGAACGTCCAGCCTATCCTTGAACACCCTCACCGGTGGGGCCACAACCACCTCCCGGGGAAGCCCATTCCATGCCATCGGGATCCTAACTGTCAGGAAGTGCTTCCTGGCATCCAAACTGAACCTTGGTTCCCTGAGCTTGGCTCCTTTGGAGCGCGTCCTGCCTTCCTCTGCAGGGGAAAACAGGTCTCTACCCATCTCCATGTGACACCCCCTCACATACCTGCATGTCACCAACAGACCCCCCTCTGAGTCTCCTCTTCTCCAGGCTGAAGAGACCCAGTTCCCTCAGTCTCGCCTCATACAGCATCCTCTGCAAACCGGCCACCAACCTTGTGGCCCTACACTGCACTGACTCTAACCTGGCTATATCCTGTCTGTAATGAGGGGCCCAAAACTGAACACAATACTCCAGTTGCGGGCGCACTAGAGTCGTGTAGAGTGGTAGTAATACCTCTCTTGATCTGGAAGCCACACTTCTGGCTATGCAACCACGGGTGGCGTTCGCCCTCCTGACCACCGCATCACATGGCTGGCTCATGTTTAGCCTGCAGTTGACCAGCACCCCGAGGTCCCTTTCACAAGTGCTGCTCTCCAGCCACTTGTCACCTAACCTGTACTTATGACCCCCATTCCTATGCCCCAAGTGCAAGGCCTTGCACTTATCCACATTGAACGCCATCCTGTTGTCTCCCTCCCACTTCCATAGTCTGTCCAGATCCTTCTGGATCTGGAGTACCTGCTCCTCAGTTGTGGCCACTGCTCCAGTTTTAGTGTTGTCTGCGAATTTGATCAGCAGACTGTTCACCCCTTCTTCCATGTCATTGATGAAAAGATTAAACAGGATCGGCCCCAGGACAGAGCCCTGGGGGACCCTGCTTGTCACTGGCCGCCATCCCGATGATTCCCCACTAATGGTTACCTTCTGCTTTCGGTCAGTCAACCAAGCTCTAATCCATTGGACAATGCATTGGTTTATCCCAAAACTCCTCAGTTTCTCCACCAGGATATCATGGGGCACTTTGTCAAAGGCCTTGCTGAAATCCAGGTATACCACATCCACTGCACCCCCTCCACATAGCCACCTCGAAACCTTGTCGTAGAATCCCACCAGGTTCGTCTGGCAGGACCTGTTTTTGCGGAAGCCGTGTTGTGTGGCTGTCAGCCTCCCTTCGCTATCTAGCATCACTAGATCTCTCTCTATTATGAGCCTTTCCATTGTTTTTCCTACAATGGATGTAAGGCTAACCGGCTATAATTCCCCATGTCCCTTCTACTACCCTTTTTGAAAATTGGGGCCACTGATGCCACCCTCCAGTCCTCTGGAACTTCACCCGTTCTCCACCAGGCCTCAAAAATGGAGGCCAGCAAACGTGAGAGAACCCCTGCCAACTCTCCAAGTATTCTCAGGTGTAACCCGTCAGGGCCAGGCGCCTTTGTAATGTCCAATGTCCTGAGGAGCCCCTCGACTTCAAGGGGGGTGACTCTAATCTGTGCCCCTAAGTCCCCAGCCTCATCTAATCTCCTGGGCAGATATCCCCCGTCCTGCTTTGGGGGGAACACAGAGGCAAAATAGTCATTTAGCATCTGTGCCTGTTCCCTCATATCAGTCACTGGATCTCCTTCCCCCTTATTTAGTGGTCCCACCACTTGTCTCCCCTTCCTCTTCCTATTTACATGCTGAAAGAAACCCTTTTTGTTGCTCTTGATATTCTTGGCAAGTCTCAGCTCGTAATCAGCCTTAGCCTTGCGAAGAATCCTCCTGCAACGGGCCTCCTCCCGGTAGACCCGTTTGTCTATTTCTTCCAGTACCCATTTCCTACGGAGGTTCCTCTTTCGTCTAATCCCTCTAACCACCTCCTTTCGTATCCATGGCGGGGCTCTCCTCCGCCTCCCCACCTTACTGACTAGAGGTATCGTCAAGGCTTGCGCCTCCAAACCTCCCTTTTGAGTGCCATCCACCCCTCCTCAACTCGCTTGCCTTCCAGTAACCCATCCCAGGAGACTTTCCCCAGTCTGGCCTTCAGTTGGCCAAAGTTGGCCCTCTTGAAGTCCCAGCTTCTAGTGCTCGACCTGCTGCACGTCCCCAGTCCCCTGATCTGAAAGCAAAGGATGGAGTGATCACTCGCATCCAGAGCTCCCCTAATCTGTACTGCATCTATCAGCTCCTCCCTATTGGTCAAGATCAAGTCAAGGATGTTCCCCCCCTCGTCGCCTCTCGGATCCTCTGTGTGAAAAACCCTCCTTCTATAGCTTCTGGGAAGCGATGTGACCTGGCTGTCACCGCCGAGTGAGTCTCCCAAATAATATCTGGGAGACTGAAATCTCCCATAATTACTGTGTCCCTCCCCCGAGATACCCTTAGAATCTGGCCTGTCAGGACATCATCCAGGGTCCCAAGTTGACCTGGAGGGCAATAACATGCCCCCACTGTCAGGTCTCTTTCCCTGTCAAAACCCCTAAGTTTCACCAGACTGCCTCTCCTGAATCCCCACCTGTGCTGCATTCTCTCTCACTGCATCCTATCCCTTCCCTGACGTATAAAGCCACGCCCCCACCTCTCTTTCCCTTCCTGTCCTTTCTAAAAAGGTGATACCCTTCTGTGTTCACATTCCAGCCTTGCCTTTCATCCCACCAAGTTTCTGTGATCCCCACCAGGTCATACCCTCCTATTTTCAGGCGAGCTTCAAGCTCTTCCTGCATATTACCCATGCTCCTAGCATTGGTGTACATGCACCCCAACTCCTTCCCACCGCTTCCTTTCCTTGGAGTCCCCAGCCTGCTCCTTCCTCCCATCCTCCCTGATACCTGGCCCCTCTCTGAAGGAGTCCTGTCAGTCCCTGCAGTATCTCTAAAACCCTGCTCCCAGAGCCCTGATCCTCCCCCCACACTTGTCCAGTGCAGACACGTTACTGGGGGGCCTGAACCCCCCGGCTCAGTTTAAAGTCTTCCGGACAAAGCTCGCTAGAGCATCTCCAAAGGACCTTTTCCCCATCCTCGTGAGGTGTAACCCGTCCCTTGCCAGAAGTCCATTGGCAAGAAAACGAGTGCCGTGGTCGAGGAACCCGAAGCGTTCCTTCTGCCACCACATCCTAAGCCAGTCGTTCACCTTGGAGGCCCTCCTGTCCCTTCCTGGCCCAAAATGTGCTGAAGGAAGCCAAAGGGAGGCTGTGGAAAAGTATTGGAGGATGGGCTGTTCTGAACCAGGGAGCCAAGAGGCAGGAATGCCCCCAGGTAAGGAAAGCCAAGGTGCAGGGCAGGTGCCCACAATAGTGGTGGGATGGATCCCTCATTAGTGTAACTCGGCCTGCAGGTTTCTTCCGCATTCATATGCGTTCTGGTGCTTTTGGGCGATCTGGTCTTGATTGCAACTGGCAACTCAGAGCATCTTTCCTTCTCAATTCTCATGCTCTGAGTTGCCAAGGGATGAAGCAGAAGAAACATCCGAAAAGTTTCCAAAAACTCGGCTCCCACACCCCACTCCAGGACTCTCTTCAGTCTGGAGGAAAAAAATACATCCTTTCCTCTCATCTTGCATTTTGGCCCCCCCTCTCCGCAGCCCACCAGGCCTGCACACCTCCTGCTCAGGTGAGAAGCGGCCAGCGCAGGTGAAAAAAGAAAGCTTTTTTTCACAAGTGTCCACTCAGTGCTTTGCAGGGTCGGGAAGCGTCACGCCCCCGAACGGAAAGCAGAAACGCGCGTCAAGGCTTTGGTGCGAAGGAACACGCCGCAGGCTGAGCGGCTCCGCCGCCCACCCTCGCTTTGGACGGAGCGGCGCTTGCGGTACCTGCTTCAGCTCCTGAGTCTCAGTCTCCGAAACAAGCTGCTGCTGCTGCTGCAGTTGGGCCTGTGGGCTGTTACTGGCTCCGTGGGAAGAGATGGCTGCAGGCCCAGCTCGCATTACGTCTCCGATCAGTCCCGATGCTGCGAGGAGGAAGAGAAGCAGAAGGGTTGGAATCCAAGCCATGCCCCATGCGTGTAACAGTGGGAAACCCAGTTCTGACCTAGTGTGTTTTGGAGGGAAGCCTCCGTCATACGTGACGGTCGAACGGCTAGCTAGTGTAGGCCAGTGACCAAACCTGGCTGCTCAGGGCAGAGCTGGCAGCCGCCACCCCCCGGACACACACACACACACCAAAAGTGTGCCTGCCCATATACGCTGCCCCCCGCCCCACCTCCACCTGCAACCGCAGGTACGCAAGGGAATGCACGGAGCACTGGTGCCAGGATACAGGCTGAGCTCCCCCGGCACGGCAAACGACCCTGCGCCGATTCCACGGTGCATGAGGTTTTGCTGAACTTACCAGCCAGACATCACGTGGTTATCTGGGCAGAGTGGGTTCCACACTGCCCACTCCATCCTCCCGGCCTCGCCACACTTCCAGGCGGTGCCCACAAGCCAAGCCCTGTCTCTTCCCCGTTCTTGTGCATGGGACATGCCAACCTCCTCCTCACTGGTCTGCTGTGGCCCCGCTTCTTCCTCCGGCGTGTACTTGCCTGTCTGTGGTGCTCGCCAGCCACTCAGCCCAAAATAAACTGCTTCACCACAACTGCCCCTTTCTCCCACCAAGTATTTTCATGCCGTCTTCCTCTTTCGAAAAGTAAATGAGATGGAAACGTTGCTCAGCCAATGAGAATAAAGTGAGTTATGATGCATCTGTTGCTAGGCGGCTGAGGGCAGTAGAAATCAAAGGCTAGAAGTGGCCACTTCCACAGCTGCTCTTGCTGGGGGACTCTATGATGCTGCCAAACCACCTAAGGTTCCCAGGTACAGACGACTGGAGAAGCCATGTGTGGAAGTGTGGAAACCTTAGAACTCGCTGTCTATTCTCTCTGTGCTTTCAGAACACAAACCCTACCCAACAGAAACTCCAGAATGAGGGCCAGATGACACCCACAACAGTAAGGTTTCTCCGGGCTTCTCGCACTGTGCAAGCTTGCAAGTAAATGGAACCACAGCGGCCTTGCTGGACAGATGAGGTGGAGCCCTTCACTCCACGGCCAGACAAGCTGCAAGCACTCAGAGAGCTCCGCGTGGGGCTGCTGTTTCCAGAGGCGGACCTGTGCTGCTTCACAAAGGTAGCTCAGCCCCACAGAGGGCCGTGCACCTTTCAACAGTGCCTGCACTCACCGAAGTGGAGCTAAATTTTGGCTGCATACTGACACCTACTGGGCCCTACAAAGTGCTGACTGCAAGAGGCAATGCAGCAGAAGTACCTGCAGGCTGGGGAGAAGACAAAGAAAACAGACACAAGCTTATATTTCTCCTCTAAAAACTGGGCTACGGTGACCTACTCCTATGGATGGCACACGCCAAGCGGGACAGCTGCTCCCTTGTGAATCCCACGGGCGAGTTTCCCAAAAGCTGATCGCTGCCAGGAAGAGAACGCTGCACAAGGAGGATTTCTGAACGGGTGGCGGAGGAGGCTACCAGTGGCTACTAGTCTTGGTGCCCACATTGCATCTTTTGCTTCAGGGGCGGTACTCCTGCGTAAGCCACTGGCTGGAAATCACGGGTGGGAAGATGCTCTTGACTAATACCCTCCTTGTGGGTTTCCCTCTGTGGGAGCTTGCTCTGCTCTGTCAGGACTCTTCATGGAAGAGGATGCTAACCGTGGGCACTAGTCCTGATGGTTATATGCTACCCCCAGTCTCAGAGACACTGTTCCTGGGAAACGTGGGTGAGGGTCTCTTGCGCTCACGTCCTGCTTGCAGGTTTCCGGTGGGCAGCTGGCTGCCCACTGCACGAAGAGAATGTCGGATCAGATGGACTTTGGATGGGCTTTCCTTGCGTTCTTACGAGGCAGCTCTTTCCGGCATCTTGCAGCAACTTCCTGACAACACACCTCTCACAGCTAAACTGATGCAGAGGGCTCCTTCAAAGAAGGGAAGGCGTTTTCTCCTTCGGCGCCTACAAGATGCTGCAGGCGCAGGACACAGAAATGGCGCGTTTGCGGCTGAGAGGCAGGCCCATTAAGAGGAGAGCTGGGTGCGGCAACGGGAGGAGGTCAGGAACTCACAAGAGGGGAGGATCGGAGAAAGCGCACAACCCCGAGCGGAATGCCAGAGGTGGCTCTGCAGAATGAAGGGTAAGTGTTCCACATTCTAGGAAATGGAGGCAGGCTACGCCAGGGTTTTGCTGATAATCTGACAGCCGTGGGCCCTACGGGTGGTGTTTGGAGGAAGCAAGATCAAAGGATCGGGTCTGGATGGGGCAACCAGTACTGACCACAGGGAAACCGTCTGAACGACCGCCCTGGTGGCGATCCGCCAGCACGGCCCTTCTGTCCCCCCCCTGCCCTTTCGGGGTTGGAGGAAGGACACCTGCGCTCCTGGCAGCCTCTGCGCGCTCTGTAGTCTGTCCGTGTGGAGGGCTGCCTTATTTTCCCGTGAGTGGCAACACTGATCCCCTTTTCCTCCCGTCCCCCAGCGCCGATTAATCAAACCCAAACAACAGGCAGCGGATCCCTGGAAGCCACCTGCAAATGCAGTTAGTTGGCCAGCCAACCAAGCTCCCAACAAAAACGCAAACCGGATGACACGGGGGCACCCGGCACAAATCCACACGGGCGCACGCAGGTGGTGCCTCCTGAAGCAGCAAGCCACCTGTGGTTTATTTCAAGCGCAGGCTCCGATTGCAGCATCTGATACCAGCTAAGTGTGGCAATTAAAGGCCATTATTTGCATGCGGATAGTTGCGGGTGCTTAGCACCAGGCAGAGCCCCGTTCTTGAAATGCTCTGCGCATGCACGCACGCACGCACGCACGGACCAGTGGTCCTTGCTGGAAGGGTGGAGGACAGCAAATTCCAGAGGAAGCTGTTGATGACAGCATGCGCCGCCAGCGCCACGACAGCTGTGGGGCACCGGGCCAGAAAGTTCGTCGGAAGCTGAAGCTCGCTTGGGGTTTTGGAGGACCCATGCCAAGACGTCTGGCCCTGTGACAGAGCCTTCTCCGCTGCTCTGGATTGTGTTACTTAATGTAAAAGGCAGACACAAAAGCTAAAGCTAAAAATACAAGCCTCTAAATCCCCACAGGAGTAATTACTGCAAACTCTTAATCCCCTGGAATTATTTGGTTATCGCAATGTTAGCTCCTGAGCTGGGACCCAGGCAGCTTTGCTACAAGAGGACCATTCATGCCGGTACACACTTAACTTTGTCTGAAAATCATCAGGCTGCACCCAGTGAATCCAATGGCAGGTACAGGCCCTCCAGCGCGGTGGACTTCCACAGTAACACACCGGCTGCAATGTATCTGCACATGCACCACAGAAATACCCCCAACTCCTATTTAAGAAGCACTGATAAAAACAGCAGCAGCGCTTTAGCTGCTCGATCCTGTTTAAGAAGCGGCCCATAGCGAGAAGTGGGCAGAACTGGACGTGAGCAAGGTGGGGGAGGGAATGGCCTCCTGGAGAGCAGGGCCAGCTCAGGCCACTGGGCGACTTAAGCCATGGATCAGGCTGGATCGGACTGAAGGCCCTTCCTGCCTGGCATCCTGCTCACTCGGTGCGCAATCAGCTGCTTACAAGCAGGGCTTGAGCGCAATCACAGATGACGACCTCACAGTACTGGGTTGCTGAACTGACTTGTAAGAGCGATTCATCAAATGTTCTGCTCTCACTCAGCAGAAAAACCATCCTTTCCCGACAAAAATGGCTCTGGCTCCCTGGGAAAAGATGATGGGACTTTTCTGAGGCAGAAAACAGTGCAAGGCAGAAGGAACACAGCTCACTTCAGTAATGCTATTCCGCTGAACGGGGCTGAACGAGGAATTGCATTCCGGAGCGGCATGAGAGAGAAGAAATATGCAAATTGCCAGGACTGCTAGTTGGCCTTTCATATATTACACTTCAAAGAAATCATACACAACACATCTATCTGCCAACTCACAAACATGCGCATCAGGCAACTGGGAGCAGCGATTCTTCTGCAGCTTGGGTACACACTGTGGCAAAGATGGATTGGCTGCTAAGCAAAATGTTAGATTTGATTAATGATGGGTGCTGCTATACAATTACTGCAAATGTTTTGATATGGGGCAACATCCCATCTGAATTTGGGCTTCCTTTTCCTTGCCTTTTATGCCATCACCTTCTGTATGCCTCATTTCAAGCTTTCCTTTATTTTCAGTCTTGGGCCCAAGGCCCAGAGTTTAGAGAAAGGCACCCTGGGTTTGAGCCCAGCAGCTCCAGTTAGAGGGAGGGCTGCGAAGGGTCTCTTCCCACCTCTGCAGGAAGCTCTTCCCTGAAACATATTCCCCCTTCCCCTAAGAGCCCAGGGGTAGAGGCGACATGGGCAGAACCCAAAATGTCTAAGAAGTAATCCTAGGCATGTTTACGCAGAAAGAAAATCTACATTTCCCAGCATGTCCCAGCCAACTGAACACATGTAGGATTGTGCCTGCTTATCAGAGAAAATCTCCTTAAGGAATAGGGAGCTGGATGGCAAAATGAGCTTCCCAGCACAATTACAGGCAGACCTTCCTCCAGATAAGCGAGAATTGTTTGGTTATGTGATTTGGAGCTCCCACTTCGCATGCAAAAAGTTGCAGGTAGGGCAGAGAAAGACTGCCCCGTAAAGTCTGGAAGAACTTGACCGTCAGTATAAATAATACTGGGACCAAGAGTCTACCTTGCTATAACATCCCTTTCTATGATCCTGAAGCGAGAGATGAGGGCAGCGGAAGCAAGACAGTGAACTTCAGCATCCAAAGTCAAGTTTACACAACGCATTTCCAAAAATGCGCTGCCTTTGTTGGAGCTTAAGTACAGCTTTTTGAAAATGACAGCAGTCTATTTTTCTATGCACTCAAATTCCACGTCCTTCTTTTGCAATTGATCTATTCAAATTCTATGGGGGAAAGGCTGTAAAAAAATTATCTTCCTCAGAAGATTAAATGGAGGGAATTTGTACCTAACATTCTGAGTCTCTACTTCTGCCAACTTGAATGCCATCCCTTTATTTTTATTTATTTAGTCAATTGATAGACCATGCCTGCAGCTCTGCTAGGGCTCCCAGGATCGTGCACATTTTATTCAGGTGCAGAAAGTGCTCTTCTCTTTCTCTTTGTGCATGCACCACAGAAATGCTGCCAACTTCTATTTAAGAAGCACCTTTAAAAACAAGACTTTGGGCAGGTCCAGGAATGGCGCAAACCATTCCTGCTCAGTACTGCTTGAACCAAGCCTATCTTTTCAGAGCTGGTTACAAACAGCAATAAAGCCTCTTATTTACTTGGTAAAAGAGCCAAAGAAACACATTCTCCCTTCTATCTTCTACTGCAGCTTTAGCTATTTAAATTTTATACAGTATTTTATATTTTAGATGATTGTGAATCGCCCAAAAAACTTTGGCTGTTGGGCGGTACAGAAATGTAATAAAGAAGCAAATAAATTTAGTTGCTTCAGATCTGTCCTAGCCCCTTTAGGTAAATCAAATATTTTATAGGTGGAAAGTGCTGGGGAACAGAAAAATACAGGCTGGCAAGAAGTGGGTGTTGACTGCCATCTGGCGGCCGAAGAACGTGTGAATGGAGGCCAGCAGGACATTAGCGACTTTCAAGAGAAACGGGGGGGGGGGGGGGGGGGCGGTGTTCCCTCCCCCTTTTTCCCCAATATATAGTTTGCCTCTTCAAACAAAAGCAGGGGCGGGGGGGGGCCGCCGACGACACTCAAGGTCAA